ACAGCCTTGATATCTGACATAAAAGAAGGTTTTACATTTAGTGTCGGATTATCGAGTCACAACTGTAACTACGTTCATGTGAGTGTGTGCAAGTTGTAAAAGGGTGAATTTTTTTTTTAAAAAAAGGACAGAATTTGTTTCGAGCAAAGAGATTGTTTGTGGTGACCTTTTCACTGAGACACTAAGAATACAGTGATTTTGGTGAAAAATCATGATTCCATTTTGAATTTGGTCAATTTTTAAACCGCACATGATACATGATCAGTTCATGGACCATAGGACAGCTGAAAATAAATCCCACGGCTCTTTCTATTTCTGATACACTGTGATGTTGAGGAAATCTCAATTAAACTAGATTTTTTTTTTTTTTTTTTTTGAATTGCACATCATTCACGAGGAGTTCAATGACCGTGGGAAACCTAAAAATTCTATGCTTTCTTCTGTTTTTACAATTTCTGCCTCTTATAAAAGATTATTATAATGAAATTTCCCAATTTTTAGCTCAGATTAGGTTCAGTTTCCAGAACAAACAGCACATTTGAGATGAGTAGTTCAAGGACTGTGGGAAACTTGAAGATCTGTCGATTCTTTCTGTTTGCACGGTTTCTGGCTCTAACAAATGGCGGCTTTTGGACAATTTTTCTAAAGCTAACATGCCTCTCAAAACCGGCTGGCGAGGTTGGGGTTAAACGATTAGTTGTTCAGTGAAAAATGACGATCGGTGTCGGCAAAAACGTCGTACAACCCAAAGACATCCAGCTTACTACCCAAGAGGTCGGATAAAAAGAAAAATATTGCAATTCAAGAAGCTGGAATCAGAGATTTTTGACCTTTTATTCTGAAATAATCGATTACTAAAACATAGAAGACAACGAACGAGACAAAGTGTGTCGGTGTGTAATGAATTCGTGGTCCTACTCATTCTGTGTTCCTTGAACTGTGCATGATGAGTGTCTGTGTTGACACATCTCCATAATTGTTTTGTGTGCGTAAACCAACAAATTATGTCGACAGAATGAATCGCGTGCATAATTGGGGACAAAAATCCGACGTTGCACTTCGAAATTCAATAAAAAAAAAAAACCCAGAACGATTCTCTCGTGCCTCGTGGCAGACGTGTTTTTGTGATTTTCCGGCGACGTGTGTGTGTGTGTGTGTGGTTTTTTACTGTATGATGATTTGTATGTGTGCTTCTCCTCTGCCCAGATGGCTGTGCTCAGAGGCTGGAGCTTCTGAGATCTGTTGCCAGCGGTGAATACTGATCAGAGATCACTGTCACATCTACAGCACGAACACGCACGCATGCACACGGCGGCGCGTCATCCATCTTCCTCCCCGCACACCTCCACTTCCACATGGTCGAACTACTAATTCACACGGCCGCCGCGTGTCCTCCATGCTGATGTTTCGGCGGCTCTGCGGGTCACGGCTGCGGCGCTGATTATCCGGCTGTCTGTCACACCTGAAGACTGACACGCTGCCGGCGGGAGGTTTCGGTTTTTGCGTTGTGATTATGATAGTTAATCAGAAGTGTTTAAAGAGAGACGCGGATTTCTCGGCTCGAGTGGCTGGATTTGCTGCTATTACAGTTTTAGGGTGTTTTTTTTTTTTTGCATCGTTTCATCCTCAGTCAACACTTTGAAGCTCTTGAGAAGAAATAATTATGTATTCAAAATAAGGCCGCAGCCGACGACTATTTTTATTGTCCGCTAATCCGCCGATTAACCCCTCTGAACCTCGTGTTTTTCTTGCTCCTGTCACATTTTTTGCTCGCTGTCAGCTCAATTTTAAGAGTCCTGCTCCTCTATGGAAACAGAACCATGAGTAGAGAGAAGTCTGAAATGTCAGCATGACACAGATGTAACCTCATAAATCATTTTTTAAAAAAGGGACGAAAATGAACACTGCTGTTTCAACACTGCCTGCAGTTCAGCTGAAAAGTCGCAGATTTTTTTCCACGTGACTCTTGGCAGCAGCTGAGTCACGAATACTTTTCCGTTTGCGAGAAGGACCACAGAATTTTTTGCTTTTTACAGAAAATGGTTAGAGCAAACGCTTTATTTATGGGGAATTTTTGAATGAGTCATGTAGAATTAAGGGATTTTTGTCAACTATTGCAATTTTAGGCTCACATCGGGTTCATTTTTAAACTGTACATTATACACGATTAGTTCTTGGACCTTGATAAAGCTAAAAATCCCATTGCTTCTACTGTTTTTATAGTTTCTGGCTTTGATAAATGGTGATTTTGACAAAATTTCACAGTTTTAAGCTAACAAAATGGCCAGATGAGGAGTTCAAAGACCGTTGGAAAGTTGAAAATCCGTTCTTTTTGTTTTTACATTTTCTGGCTCTGATAAATGAAGTAATTTTGGCAATTTTGCAAAGACAACATGTCTTTCTAACCTGCCAGGGGGTTTGGGGGTCAGAAAATAATGAAAAAATATCGATCAGTGTGGCCAAAGCACCAAGATGGCGTCCTAAAAACTTCATGTTTTGTCCACAAACCAAAGATGATTAGCTGACTGTCAAAAAGGTAGAAAAAGACTGAAAATATTGCAATTTAAAAAGCTGGAGTCCAAATATTTTTAGCTTTTTTCCCATTAATTACCAGATTATCAAACAGTTGGAAATTAATTTAATAGTTGACGAAAAATCTATTCATTTAAAGTGGATTTTTAAAAATCAATTGTGTAATTAAATATATCGTAAAATAATTCTAGGCCAGGATTGGGAAATGCAGGACAAAAAATGTTCACAATATTAACAAAAACGTGATATAGTTCGCAAAAATCAGCAGAATTGCATTAAATAATCAGACTTATGTTAACCTGCAACTGTATTTATTAATGTTTTGAGAGATTATAATAATTATTTTAGAGAAATCTGTAGATTAATTGAGAGCCGAACTAATCTTTGGTCATCGTGTCGCCACAACATTCCTCCGCAGACACTCAAAAACCGTTAACGAAGGAAAATTAAGTATCTCGTACATTAAATCCGTAATCATTGGAGATGTTCTGCAGAAATGTGTTGATGTGCATTACGTGCAACGCGCAGGGAAAATCAGAGAGGTTCATCAAGACGACACCTCGGTATTGAAAGTGACTGCGGCGTTATCACGCTGTGTAATTACATGTGGAAGCTCGGTGGTAATTTACAACTCGGCGGAGTGAATCCCACGTCTCCTGACCCGCTCGCTCGCCGCCAGCTGCTCCTTCACCTGTCAGCCTCCGCCACCGATAATCACACAATCTGGGAAGTTTCGCTGGCAAAAAAATAAATAAATAAAAATATGGCCAGCGAGGGGGTTTTCCCTAATGCTCGACAACACACACACAGATTTTCTTGCGGGTGAAACGTTTTAGTTGGACACCATGTTCCTGTTAAGTATGCTGAGATTTGCTGCACAGAACAGCTTGCTCTGCTTTATTTGAAAATCCAGAGGGCAGTAAAGTGAGTGTGGAAGGCGAGAAAAGAAAAATCTAATCCTCTGGAAAGTAATTGTTGAGTCACTGGTGGTGATCAATAAGGCCATCGAATACCTGTAGATGGAATAAAATATATATATATGTTTCTGCGCATCTGTGCAGTGATATGTGCCATGTTGTTGGGGATTTGGGCAATCCAACTTGTGCATTTTTTGGATTTTTTGACTGATATTTCTTCAGCGTTTGCACCATTTCCCCGCTGTGGGATTAATGAAGGCTTATCGTGTCGTTATTATCTGCGTTTAAAGCCAAGGTTATGCTGCACGACACCACAAAAAAAAAAAAAAAATGCAATTAAAGGGATCAGACGTTTCAGCCGGGTTTTTTTTCCTTTAACCTCCCGAACCTTTTGAATACCTTTCTGCAAATTGTTCCGGATGAAACCTTGCCCCTCTGCGCCTCTAATCAGCTCCTAAGCAAATGAATGCAAATGAGCGCTCAGAGGACGAGCCACAGCGGTGTCCATCACGCCCCGACGCGCACCCGGGGATGTTAGTTGGTGTGCACGGTGCGCGGCGCTCGCGCAAAAAAAAAACTGAACTCACACACTGTGGAGACCCGCACGCTGCAAAACAGATAATACTCCCGCACTTGCATTATCCTCCCCGCGCAACAACCACACGCAGCATCCCGCTCTGCCTTTCTCCAGACAAAATGAAAGTGAGGAGGCAGCCGCATCACACCTCCAAATGGGCTCTGGGCTCTCAGAGGACTTTGGGCGAAGGGGGGAAGAAGTCGCCGCTCTCCTGTGGCAACGCTAATCTGTCTCCGTACGCAAATCTGCACATCCTCTCCGTGTCTCGCGCGCAAATTCTCGATCCCTTCTCCCTCGTCCTGTTAACGTGCACGAGCCCCGCCAGCGCAACACATGAGAAAGTGCATTACGAGGCTTCCTCTGCATTCCAGCTGTCCACGCTCGACAGGTATACTGGGCTCGCTCCCCCCCCCTCCCTCCCCAGTCTCTCTGCCTCGATGCAATTGTTTCTCAAGGTTCAGTTCCTCAACAGATGAAATACGACACAGGAACCCTCTGGTGTCGCATACCAGACGTAAACAAGACAGGGGAGGAAAAAAAAAAAAAAAAGCACACAAAGATGCAAAAAAGAAAAGCAAGCGCAACAAGGGCTCGTGCAACCCCGCCTCCCCTCGGAAAGGAAATAAAAAAAACAGGATTTCAGTCACATTCCTAAGTACACACAGAGAACAAACACCACCAAGTATGTACAGTAGAGCAAAACATCTGCCATCCCTCAGACGGAGTGGAAGTGGAAGTGGGCTGCACATGTTTTGCACAGGAGTAGGGAAGAAGGAGGAGGAGGAGGTGGTGGTGGTGGTGGTGGTGGAGGAGCAGG